GGATTTCACAAAAGCCCGTCACAGTGGTTCATTTGGAACCATGATGTTTACGGGTGAATATTTCAGCAAAGGTGGAGCAATGCCGACAGTGAAAGAGATGATGATCCTTTCAATGCAGACAAACTAGTTCAAGCCTTGGATGACGTTGATGTCGTCGAGATATAGTAGCCCTCTACGAATTGTAGACCTCCTGTCAAAAGTGATCGATTTCTTGAGGCTACTAATAAATAAAAGACCGATCACAATTCGTAAAAATCCGATCAATCAGAATCAAGAAATTTTTGTAGGTCAAATTACGAGAAGTAGAAACTATTAGCAACCATACTAAATGTGGAAGCCTGGCACGGACCGACCGGGAATGAAGCGTGATGCCAAGGCTGGCAAAAAAGAGGACGACACGCCCTTAAAGAAGGATGATAGTAAGCCACAAGCGATGAAGGCTCCAGTAAAGTTGTCGCAGAAGACATTAGCCATGAAGGTATGGCGACAGATGACACATAGTTGTTGTATCGAAAATTAATGCAATTTTTCGTATGCAGTTTATGCAACGCAAGAAGACAACCGAAGCGCGGCGCATTGCCGCCGTAAGAAAACAGAAAAGTCAAGATACATGGGAGAATGGGCCAGAAAACGACGACGTGGACAACTGCTCTAAGATTATCTGTATGCGCGACGTATCCGACCCGTCACTTCCATTGCTTTTTGGCCGTCGCTCCTATGGTGGGTTTAACAAGGGTATAGAAGACGAATTTAAAGAGGCTTCGAGGGCGCTGCGCTTTTTAGCGTCCGAAGAAAGAGAATTGCGCGAGGAAGTATCGGCTGAGGAAATGACGTCTCGCATGCTGAAATACACGGGACTGGCTCGTCGAAAAGGTGGCAGCGAGCGACTTAAAAGCATCAAGCGTCAGCGGAAATAGACGCAGGGTTATAAATCATCGTCGTCACTTGAAGTTGTATACTGAACTCGTCACTCGTCATCGCTGGCATCTTCGTCGCTGAAATAGCTAGCGGCTTTCCGTTGAGGGCGACTGCGCGCTGACACGGCGATT